CGGAATCCTGAAACCCAATGAAAACCCATCACGCAAATAGGATGCCGCTTCCCTGTCAGGATATAATTCCAACAAGGACAATAACGGCTGAAGCCTCACTGGTGTATAGGCTAGGGAGGACAGGGTACTACTTTCCGGCTCCGGTGGCTGGCACCTGGGGGGCGGCCTTCGGGAGCTGCTGCGAGCCCCCCCCCTTGCGAAAGGGTCGCCGCACCCCCGTACACACAGATGCCGAGTGGCTCCCAGAGCACTTCTCACACAGGTGCGAATACCTGCAGGGTTGCCGTTGGCAAACACCCTTATTGAAATCCCAACAATACAACCGGCGGCCCGCCTTCTGAGGGAGAGCCCTGAACTTCTGCTGGTCAGGGGCCTTTTTCTCGAAGCGTGGGGCAACATAGGTGGTCCAGACATCCAAGTCTTTTCGATCCCAACGGGCTGTGGGGATCTTGGCTGCCCTACGCCTAAAATTCTGATCATAAGCCAACGCAGCGGTCTCACCAGCCATTGTGAAGGCCGAGCGGACTATGGACAAGTAGACCCATAAGTGTAGGGACCTCCTGGGGTAGGCTGCGGAAACTACGCCAGCGAAAACTTGAAAACTGTCCAACCAACGCTCGAACGTCCTATCCGCTTTGGCTACAATTGCCCGCTTCTTGGCGGTAGCATAGCCTTTGTCTAAAAGCTCCTGCCCCTCCAGCGGAGGTGCTAAACTAAAAATGTCGACATAACGACCATTCAAAATTCTGGACCTCAATTTGGCTGACAAATGAGCACCAGGAATAAGGTCCCTAGCCGAATTGGTGGAGACTTTAACGTCAGGCACCAAAACCCCTTCCTGACACTCCTGCACTGCCCCATACTTCGCCCTGTGGGAATTCGCCCTGCGCTCCCAAACCCACTTAGGGAGCCCCGAAATCTCACCAAAGCCCCAGTAAAGCTTCATGGAAGCTTCCTCATCACTGCTGGAACTCTGCGAAGAAGTACCTGTCGAAGAGGACGAAGTATCCTTCCGTCTCCGCTTGGAGCGCTTCCTAGAGCTTCTCTTGCGACGGCGGTGCCCACCCGAAGAGGCCCTTGGTGGAAGAGGAAGACTGTCCTCGACCGATGATTCAGATACATCACCATGTTGCGCAGAACCTGAAGCAGACTGGAAAGAGACAGCCTGTGAAAGATCTAGTAATGAACTACCATGTCCCAGCGGCCGCGGTGATGGACCCCGCCCAGCTCGAGCCCGCGCTGATACCCTGCGTCTGGCCCCTCCCCTAGCAACACTCCGACCCCTTGGCGCAGCAACCTGCTGCACGGGTAAGACCGTGGGCTGGGCAGGTTGAATATCAGGTAAGAAAACCCCAGCTGAAGACGCTTCTCCTTCTTCTTCACTAGATGCTGACACTGGCAAGGAAGCGACACGTGAAGGTGCTGGTCGCGCCGAGGAGGTCGCCGGGGTTGAGCGGCGCTGCATCAAGTTCTCCACCTCAGCCTCGACCCGTGCCAGAGCGACCGGGTCATTCGCCAAACCAGATACCATGGACTGAAGGCGCTGCAGCGACTGGTTGGGCTCAGGAGAACGCAAGGCCTGAGAAGGGCCCTTTATAGGTCGCTTCACCGAGCGGACCGGACCCGGCTTCCCTGCTGCCTTTTTAGGAGCCATCCCTACTACTGGTGTGAGAAACAAAACAAAAAATTAAAATTAAAATTAAAATGTAAAATCAAAGTTACGAAATTAAGAATTAATAACCAATAACAAATTGCAAACAGAATTTAAAATCAAGAAATTAACTTAGCGACCAGTAGGTAAGTGACGCCCCAACCCCACCAGTTCAGTGGCTTGGCACACTCAAGGCAATTGGGTGAAAACCCCCACCACTAGGAGGCAATTGGAAGAGCTTCAGTAACCTGCAATATCCAAACCACCACTAGAGGCCTCCCTTGGAGCAAATATGCTGCTCAATTTAAGGAACCTTGCAATTACAAGGTCTGGCCACCAGATGTCGCAGCGTGGCCAGGAAAGGAGGCAAAATGGCGCTCCCGCCAAATCGCCCCCAAAATGGAGGGCCTGCAAACCTCCCTAACCCGAGCCCCCAGGACGCCAGCCACCGGCTAACAGGGCCCCCAAAATCGCCGGGAACCGCCTGCGGAGTTCACCCTCCAAGCAAGGTAAGTCCCGGCGCCCAGACAGCCTCCCCCAGCGCCACCAAGGCCCAGGGAGAAAAAAGGGGAGAGAGGGGGGGGGGCGAGAAGGCCCGCAGCCAGGCTAGATCAGCCGCGGCGCTATCCTAGGCGCCCCCAGGCCTCCTGGCCGTGGGCCAGCGATTCCCGGCCCCAGCGCAGGCCGCCGGAGCAACCGCCCGGCGCGCGCGCTGCGCGCAAGGATCAGGGCCTCCCCTGCGCCTCAAGGCAGGCCGGATCCCAGCCAGGCGATGGGGGCGATCCGCGGGACCTGCAGGCTCCCCGGGGCACCGGCAGGGAAGCCGAGGGGAGGGAGGAGGCCGGAGTGGGAGGGGGGGTGAGAAGGCCCCGGCCGGGCTAAAGCAGCCGCGGCGCGATCGCGACGCCCGCAGGCCTCCCGGCCGCGGCCAGCAGTCCCCGGCGCAGCCGGCCGCCGGAGCCACCGCCTGGCGCGCGCGCTGCGCGCAAGGATCGGGACCTCTCTTGGCGCCGAAGGCAGGCCGGCTCCCAGCCGGGCCGAGAGGCGATCCCCAGCACCCGCAGGCCCCTCCGAGCACGGGCAGGGAAGCCGAGGGGAGGGATCCCCAGAAGAGGCCCCCCAGCCGATCCTCAACGTCGCCGCTCCGAGAAGATGGGGGGGGGAAGGCCCCGGCCGGGCCAGAACGGCCGCGGCGCGACCACAACGCCCGCGGGGCACAGCGCAGCCTGCCCAACCCCAGGGAAGGCCAGTCAGGCAGGGGTAGTAAAGCTGAGTGGGGACTTTGAACTCGGGCCTCCCTGGCCCCAGTCCAGCACTCTCACCACCTCACTACGCTGCTCTTTTTTCCCAGGCCCGGGTCCCAGGCTCGGCCGTGAACCGGGCCGTAAGCCGCCCGGGGCCTAGGGTACCCACCCCCTCCTAAAACGACTAAGAGGACCAATAAAGGAAGGCAGGGGACAAATAGTAGGCTAAGTAAAATAAAACGATAACAATAAAATAAGGAAGGGAAGGAGAAGAGAAAAGAGAGGTAATTAGGGGAAGATATACGACCCAAACTTTCGCTGATATCACTCCGGTGCTGATCCGGTGTCCACAGCGAAAGAGAAAGGAACAGGCTGTGGACCCAGTATAAATAACCTTTGACTCCACCCCTTAATTGGCAACATCACTTTTTCCCCAGCAACAACAATCACCATTCAATTCAATTCCCTTGCCACAGCCTGGCTGCAACTGAGGATGATTTGCCAGGCCCCATCCGCAACACGTGCTCTCTCTTTAATGAGAACACGCTTTGTCATTTGTATTCATTTCTGAAAAAAGCAGCTCTCTTTAGAAATGAACAGCTCTCTTTAGAAATGAACAAACACTTTCCACTTTGACAAAATCACTTTTATGACAATCTTTTCAGTATTCTGGATAAAAGTAAAATTAAAATTAAACACCACTTGTCGGCACCCTCAGTTCCCTACTATTGCTCTCAGTGATACCAGCTAGCCATATCTGGGTGAGTGCACATTTAGATACTTATAAAGTACTTTTGGAAAGCATTCAAGGAATGAGAGGAGAGGAGAGATGGGCTACAAGGAAAAGTTAGCATCCATTGATGGCGGTCAGGCCACTGCAAGTATGAAGAACTGGCAAACAGCTATTTCAGCTATTTCAGGAGACTGAAACACTCACCATAAAACTGTAAACTCCACTGTAAGGGAGTGTATAAATGCCTGCAAAGTATTTCTTTGGGAGGAAGGTGTGTGGAAAATGGACCCATTTTAATCACTGCAGACCGTCACTTAAACAGGCAAAGGAGAGGGGTGATGTCTATAGACAGAGCAAGGGTAGCTAACCTGTGGTCCTACCAAAGTTAACCACCACTGATGTACAGAGATCCAAAGATACATTTTTGCCATCTTCTAAAAGGGTCCTTGGGCAAAATATATACCCACTCTTTCTAGTCGTTTTCTTGCTTTCCTCAACATGCTGACAGGCCTAGTGTGTATGTCAATTGGGGACTTCCAGCACTTGGCCAACTGCCTCCTGTCCTTAGTTAAGGGTACAACATATTCCACTGTAGGGGGCAGTGGAATGTGGCTGAGTGGTAGAGCATTTGATTTGCATGCAGAAAGTCCTGGGTTCAATTGCTACCAACTTCAGATAGGCCTGGGAAAGAGCGGAATAATCATCAGCTCCTAACCTGGAGATTGAATTTGGGACCCTCTGAATCTGGCAGTGGCTGCTGGGAGCTGTGGTCCAAACATGTGGAGAGCACGGGTTGGAGAAGGCTAATCTGTGCAAATTAAAACAGCTTTGTTCCACTTAAGAATGAACATCCTCCTCCCAATGGACCTTTAAATAAAGCTTGTCTCACTAGTAATCTATGGAGAGGATGATGGAAGACACCCAGCCATGATAAGATTTAAATGACACAAGAACTCTATATTATAGATCTGGTGCTGATAGCTGCATCATACGAAGGTAAGGCATATTATAGCATATTATACTGCTTTGCTTTATAAAGGTATTCAGAATTTTCTTATTTTCATTATGGGCTAACACATCAATTATTCCTTTTTTTGAGAGAGATATCTAGGGTAGTATCAGTGCCAAGCTATAGGATTAAATAGTTAACTAGTACAAAATTTTGGAAAGCAGCTTGTATTTACATATTTTTTTTAAGTCTTCATGAAAAAAATTCCCACCAAAAATTTTTTTAAAAAAAATTATGGCAGAAATCCTTAGCAAATTGGAATGGAATGGTAAACCTGCCACCCACCCAACATGCCTTTACCTACCCTAAAAAATCACTCATAAATCCTTTTGCCTGCAGATAACTCATGAAAGTCAAGACTTTATGGAGAACCAAACAAAGATCAATGAGTTTTTACTGCTGGGATTCACTGAGAATGGCAAACTAGAGATATTTTTCTTTGTCCTTTTCTTAATCATGTACCTGATGGCTGTAATGGGAAACATGATGATTATCACCATCACTCTCATGGATTTCCGCCTCAGGACACCCATGTATTTCTTCCTCCGGAATTATGCCGTCTTGGAGATTGGATACACCACTGCTGCCATCCCAAAGGCGTTGTTCAACCTTGCATCTGGCAGGAAAACAATCTCGTATGCTGGATGTATAAGCCAATTGTTTTTCTATTTCTTCCTGGGCACCACAGACTTCTTCCTGCTGACTGTGATGTCCTTTGACCGATATGTGGCCATCTGCAACCCCCTAAGGTACACCACCATCATGAACGAGAAGTTCTGCACACTTTTGGTGCTGTTCTCTTGGATTGGGTCACTTGCTGTGATTTTGGCTCAAACTCTGCTATATGTTCAATTTCCTGTTTGTGGCTCCAACATCATTGACCATTTCTTCTGCGACAGCAAAGCATTACTCCATCTTCTCTGTGGTGACACACATTTCCTAGAGCTCTCCAGCTTTATTCTTTCGGTGTTTACGCTACTGGGGACTTTAGCTATCACCGTTGTGTCCTATGTGAATATAATCTCAACTGTTCTCCACATCCCAAGTGCTGCAGGGAGGCAGAAGGCCTTTTCCACCTGTGCTTCCCACATCACCATTGTCACTGTCACCTATGGAAGCTGCATCTCTATGTACGTCATACCTGAGCGGGATGGTGGGCAAAACTTCAACAAGGTTGTGGCCATTCTTAACAATGTGGTTTGTCCTCTAATGACCCCCTTTGTGTATAGCCTGAGGAACAGGCAGGTCCAAGATGCTTTGAAAAATGCTTTTGGCTACAAGCATGTATTTAATAAAATGCAGAGAAACTCATGCAGTTTGAAATGGTTGAAGGAATGGGAGTTAAAATAGACCCATGATACTTCTTATGGAGTTTCACTTCTTATGGAAACTTCTTATGGAGTTTCAGAAGCCCAAATAAATAGTTTTCGCGTCAAAACAAAAGCCTTCATTGGTGTGGAAAACCTCTGAATTATCACCAGATCCTTATTTCATAGTCAGAAAATCATAGAATCAGAGTTTTAGGCAGTGTTATTTTTCTATAGAAAGAGATGCCAGAACTCACCATGAACCTCTCCCTTGCTCTCTTATAATGGCCATGGTGCCCACCTGAGAGGTGCCAGAACTGAGTTTTGATGAACTTTGGCTGACAAGGACCCTCGTAGCTTCGGGACCACCTCTCCTGGTATGTCCCACAGAGGACCTTTCAGTCTTCAAATAAAAACATCTTGGAGATCCCAGGCCACAGGGAGGTTAGGCTGGCCTCGACCAGAGCCAGGGCTTTTTCGGCCGTGGCCCATATCTGGTGGAATGCTCTGTCACAAGAGACTAGGGCCCTGCCGGACTTGACATCTTTCTGCAGGGCCTGCAAGACAGAGCTGTACTGCCAGGCCTTTGGCCAAGGCACAGTCTACTCCCTCTCTCCTTTATCTAATCCTCATAGAACTCTAACCCAATGGTTGCCATTAATTTGATTCTGAACTCACTTTAGAATGAATGTTTTTTTATTAATTGACTGTGATTTTATGTACACTGTACTATTTTTACTTGTTACCCGCTCTGAGCCCAGCTTTGGCCGGGGAGGGTGGGATACAAATAAAAATTTATTGTTATTATTTATATATAAAAAACCTGGTTTGAGGCCTTGTAGGCCAAATCTGCATCCAGGGCTGGAAATCTAGAGCAAGCCAACCTGGAACATATGTGGCCATTCATGGTAGGAAGCATTCACCACAACACTTTGCTCCGATGGAAGCTGCATCTCTATGTACAGTGGTACCTTGGGTTAAGTACTTAATTCGTTCCGGAGGTCCGTTCTTAACCTGAAGCTGTTCTTAACCTGAAGCATCATTTTAGCTAATGGGTCCTCCTCCTGCCGCCGCGCCACCGGAGCATGATTTCTGTTCTCATCCTGAAGCAAAGTTCTTAACCCGAGGTAATATTTCTGGGTTAGCGGAGTCTGTAACCTGAAGCGTATGTAACCTGAAGCATATTTAACCCGAGATACCACTGCACATGAAACCAGAGCAGTACAGCCTTTCAATAAGGCTGTGGCTGTTCTCAACATTGTGGTTTATCCTCTTATGACCACTTCTGTGTACAGCTTTGTGGAACAAGCAGGTGAAATATGCTTTGAAATATGCTTTTGACTGAAAACATGTTTTTAAGTTCATGGAGTTTGAAACAACGGGAGGAAGGGGAAACGTGAACTGACTAAAATAGGCTCATGAAACATTTTGTGGTGTATCTGAAGCCCAAATAAACCAATTTCTTTTAAAATAATCATTGGTTTCCAAAAGTCAATGAAACTGGCATATCATGTGTGCCGCTTGAATTTCAAGCAACAGAAAACTCTGTTCTACATAACTGGAATCTGGTAATCACTCTTACTCCCAGTATGGTTGTTTTAAGAAAACTTAAGCTTTTTTGAGGAAATTGTGTTTTTATTCCTTTCACCCATACCAATCATTGTATCTTTTTCAAGGAAGACCTCTTTACTGTTGAAGATTACCGTAAATAACCCTTTAAGTGCCACTAGGGGGCAGCACTATGCAGTTTTGAAAGCACAACAACCATCTGAGGCAGGAAGCCTGTGCCCCTGTTCATATATTCTGCCAGGGTGGTTACAGTTCTCTGGTCACACCTATACCATACATTTAAAGCACTTTTATACCACTTTAAAAATAATGGATTTCCCCAAAGATTTCTGGGAACTGTAGTTTACTGAGGGTGCTGGGAACTGCAGCTCTGCAAGATTTGACTATCAACCCTCATGCGACCTCCGTTCTCGTGAAAACTGGGGCTTCTGGTTGGAATACCCTGTTGTGAGAAGTCCAATTTGTGAGAGAAACAGATCACATAAAACGAGCTGTTGTGTGCTTTTAATGCACAAACATTTTTGCCACCGTCTACACAACATGGTTGGCATCAGAATCCCCCACCCCCATTTAATCTGGATTTATCCTTTCAGGGGGAATTCTAATAAACCACACACACACACACTTGCAATATCTGAACAACTCCTTTTGCAATACTAAGAGTTGTCTTCAATGTTAGTCCTACTCAGAATAGACCCATTGAAATTAATATAGCTGCCAATTTAGGCCATTTAATTTCAGTGGGTAGAACTTAGTTGGCTACAGCCCTAAATTCACATCCGGAGGAACCCAAAGGAGGCTCCTATCAGGTATCCTGGTTAAAGAATAGTAAAAATGGCTGATCTGTTGCTAAATATGGTCGCTTGTTACCATCTGCTTCATTGGGTCAACGGTGGACAAACTTGATGATCCTTTCCTCCTCTCATAGTTTTCTCATGAAATCTGCCAGTGATAGCTACTGTGTAAAAAATCAACTTTGGACTTGAGAAAGGTACAGGGAGGATGTAAGAAAACCACTCTGATGTCATACCCTCCAAATTCTGGAGATCTGATACCAGGATGTGTATCTTCTGGGATGCGCACCCAGGCAAGTCATGTGACCCACGCCTCACTGTACTACCCTGATAAAAGTGTTTTTCCAGGGTCAGACGGGGAGAGTTCACAGCATGCAAAATGGCTGTTGTGATCTCGCATGGGGGGGGGGAAAGGGATGTCCCATTTTTTCTGGGACACACAACCGGTATGTGATGTTTTGAAGGTAAATCTTAACATGGAAAACCAGCTCCACAATCAAAATTTGATGGCGCCTAATTCAAACTGAACCTTCTGCTAGAAACGACTTTGAGAGCAGCTAGCCTGTATTGAGTGCCTCAACTTGTGCAGTCCTAACTTTGGACATAGGATGGAGCTGTACCATTATGAAGATTGGGGGCAATTCAGAATTACTCCTTCCTTTATGTTGTTCTCTTTCCCATCTTGAAGTGTGTGTGTGTGTGAGAGAGAGAGGGGGGGGGGGCGAGATGAATTGGATTGGACTTTACTTTTGAATGTTTGGCCCAATTCTTCTTGTTACCCGGTGCAGTGGAGACCAAAGGCTTGAAGAGGCTCTTAGGAGACGTAGCTCCTGGGAAGAGGGATTGATTGTTAAGTCACTCTGAGAGCTGTAGTCCAGAATGGGGAATAGGAGTCACCTAACAACTCGCCCTGCCCTTAGCAGACTACAGTTCCCAGGATGCTTTTGGGGAAGCCATGGCTACTTAAAGTGGTATGATACTGTTTGAAATAAATAGCGCAGATGGGGTCTAAGTTAGGATGAGCACATGAAATCAAACATCCTAAAGCTCCTGATATGTACACACACACACACACACACACACACACGGAGCCAAGTGAGGATTCCCAGGTAAGATCCCTCCCCCACCTGGCCTGATCTCCTTGGCAACGCTTCCCCCAGGTGGGATTGGACAACTGACTGGGGTAGGCGGAGACCTCCAGGTATCCCACCTGAGGGATGGGATAAGCCAAGCCTATGCTGATGGAGCCAAGCCTATGCTGATGGAGCCGCTCCAGATCCAGGGGCTGTGCGCATCCACGCAAAGGTCGCCCCCCGTTTTATGCGGGGAGCGGTCATTATAGCAGGGAAAAAACAACTGTTACTGCATTTACAGTAGGAGAAAAGTTAGCAAAATCCTTTTGATCATCTCCCTTGGCAGAAGTTTCAGACTGTAAAGCACTTTAATTAATTCAATAAGTTTTGTAGGCCACTGGGGTTATCTTGCACAAATGTGAACAAAATTAATCTATAGGCATGGGACTTAATCAGGCAACAAAGTTTTGAAGAGTTAGTAGCAAACTTTTTGTTCTCTTGGTACATTAGGGGAAGCAGATAATGAGGTTGGTTTGGAGGGGAAATCAATTAGCATCTGTTTTGCTAACTGCACACTAATCAGAGAATGAGGCAGAAAAGTTTTGTGTTTGTTTTGTTTTTTTATTGAAAACAACAGACTTAGATTGTCCATCAAGACTCAAGTGGTAAAGTGGAACACCAAACTAATACATTTTTGATAAAAATAACATACCCCCCCCCCAAAAACACCCAATGAATTGATGTTAAATAACAACATTCGCATAGGAAAAATCTTATTCTATTTATTTTATTGTAAATATTATTGCATTTTATATCCCACATTTCCTCCAAGGAGCTCATTATTCTCCCCCTCCCTCTTTTATCCTCACAAGAATCCTGCAAGGCGGGTTCGAGGAAAAGAGAGTGACTGATCCAAAGTCACCCAGTGATTTCGTCTTCCGGGTCCTAGTCTGGCCCTCTGACCACTGCGCCACCCATTGGCCACTAGTCCATGACTACTAGCCAATGATAGCACTCACCATAATGACTATATACTGTCTTCAGGACCAGAAGCATCATGCTTCTGAATACAGTTGTACCTCTAGTTACGAACTTAATTCGTTCCGGAGGTCCATTCTTAACCTGAAACTGTTCTTAACTAGAGATGTGCTTTCACTAATGGGGCCTTTTGCTGCCCCTGTGCTGCTGGCACAAGATTTCCGTTCTAATCCTGGGGCAAAGTTCTCAACTCAAGGTAACTCTTCCAGGTTAGCGGAGTTTGTAACCTGAAGCATTTGTAACATGAGGTGCTTGTAACTCAAGGTACCACTGTACCAGAAACAGGGAGACAACTGTGAGAGAGGGATCATGGGCTTCATAAATGATTCTGGTTGACCACTGTGAGGAAGAGGATGCTGGAACAGATGGACCTTTGGTTCTGATGCAGTGGAGCTCTTTTTGCATTCTTATGAATTCTCAAACATTACTAGAGAGAAGGACGCTTAGTTCTTACTCACTGAAGGGCCTATTTTAAAAAAACAAAACAAAACAATGGATAGCATATTTCTCTAGCAAATAGCTGAAGTTTGGCTCTTCACACATAGTGCAAGATACACATAATCCTCCTG